TATATATATATATATATATATAAATTTCATTGTCATTCACCTGTCTAACTCTGCCTGGTTTCTAATCACTGCTGATCTGATCCACCTGCTACTGCCTCTATTTAAGGTGCTTGCATCCAGTCATCAAGCTAGATTATTCTTGCTCCAGTGGTGAGAGCCTTTTAAGAGTTTCTGATTTGCCTGAGCTGTAGTTGGAGTCCTGTATCCTTGAGCCTGTCTGTTCCTGTTCTGATCTGTTTGCCTGACCTGGCTTCAGATTCTTGGACCTCTGAGCCTGTCTGTTCCTGTTCTGATCTGTTTGCCTGACCTGGCTTCGGACTCCTGCCTATTCTCCAAGGCTGCAGCACCTGGGAGACTCTGGGGACACTGCTGCCTCCTGTTGAGAGTAATCCTACCTTTTTCTCCTGTTATGGACTGATCTTGTAATCCGGGTTAGTGACTCATTTTGATAATCTTCCTCCATGAGATTTATGTGGTCACTAACCAGTGTTTCCTCTCCCCAGAATTTCCTTGCTCAGATGCAGCTGCAACTACAGATCAATGTTTTAATAAACGCTTTTTGAGTTATCCCAATGTCTGTCTTGCCTTGAATACTGGGTCCCTCTGTTCTGAGTCCTGACATTAATAAAAAAACAAAAAAAACATTAAAAATATACTTGGCATATATTTGTTTCTCCCTCCTAAAACTGTTTCTCTGAAAAAATTAGCATTCAAGAATTTGGTGAAAAGAAAAAAAAAAAAAAAGGCAGAGTCATAGTCTAAACCTTTTGTTGAGGATGTGAACTATCAGAATTGTCTGTCTCTATTTAGGTTGTACTTTCTACAAATAAAATAAATAAATAAAATAAAACATTGGAAAATGTTAAATTTTTAACCATTCAAACATGACAAATGATTTATATTCTGGTCTATGCTATCTTTATTGTTATTAAAAATTAATACGTAGAAATTCTTTGTCGCAATAAAGTTAAGGTAACTACAACTTAGTAAAAAAAAAAAAAAATAAATAAATAAATAAATAAAAAAGCAGGTTGAATGGAATACCATCAAATGTTATTCAAGTTTAGTTCCAATGTTTTCTAGCTTTATATTCATTTGACGATGATGATAGACAGTGTTTAAGTTTTTTTTTTTTTTTTTTTTTTTT